GACCAACGCCGAGACAACATCATGTCGGACATAGAATGGGACATGGTCGGTCTCCCAGATACGGAAACGGAAGAGGGCTGGGAGACGTGGAACAAGTTGGTTCGTTTCTGGGTGACCGACTGGTACTTCCGCACATGGATCCTGCAGGAGGTCATTTTGGCACCAAAGGTAGTCGTGCTCTATGGAACAGCAGCTATCAGCCTAGAAGCAATTACGGACTTCTGGGATCTTGCAAGACTTCATGGTCTTCCAAGGCCACTTCGAATCGGCATGTATGCTGAAGTCTTCAGTATGATTATACATCTGAGTCCCGTAAGCTCCTTTAAGTTGCTACGAGACCGCAGACAAGGATTTAGGACATTGCCAACAATTGCCGATACAGAAACTGTGGAGGATGAGGCTGTGGAAGGAAGTTCTACTCTCAACCTCCTGGAGTTGCTTTGTTTGACGAGGAACAACCTGGCGACTGATGCGAGAGACAAGGTTTATGGACTTCTCGGACTCACTGACGACCCTGTCGCTCAGTTTATCATTCCCGACTACTCCTCCAACAATACCCCAGACAAGGTCTTCACTGAGGTTGCGAGACTTATGATCGAGGCTGGTCACGCTGTTGACCTCCTACACCACGCCGGCATCAATCAAGGCATCTCAAACCTTCCATCTTGGGTGCCTGATTGGACGGTTCAGTCACGGTCTACTTTATCGACCCAGCTATATCACTGCATGCCCAACACGTCCCCCAAGATATCAACATCGGCTCCTGGAGAAGCTCCGAGACTGACCGTGCGAGGGATAATCCTGGATCGAGTCAACTTCGTGGGGCCATCGTGGAAATATTACGTCCATAATCAAACTGACAACACGTTCAACATCCTCGAGAGTGCGCCGGAGCTCGAGATTCCAGCGTTTAACGATGAAGATTCTCGAAATTTCATCCTTACCTTTGCAACCATTACGACCAAAGACGACCTCAAGGAGCGATATACCGATGAAGGTCTCGATGACGCGCTTGTGAGAACCCTGGCTATGGATCGATCATGGCAGGGCACAAGGATTGGGCCAAGAGATAAAGAAGAGGAAGTAGGAAGCGAAGTTTCTAGTCTCGTTACCACCGGAAAGGACGGCAACGATTCTCCCGAGCTAGTATCGACATCGCAGGAATTCTTCGCAGGCGTGGACGCCTTCCGGCGCTTCTACGCTCAAGGACCGAATGAAGAGAACGATGAGCACGCTCCAGGAATTCGCGTGCACCAGACAGCGATATTCAAGTGGCTGCTTGACTTTGACGTCGATATCGAGGCAGACCTCCAGAAACGCATTGTCCCCTTCACCGTCCCTTTTCAAGAAGCTCAACGCGGTCGGCGATTTGCCATGATTGGTACAAGGGATCACAAGAACGAAGAGGATATTGCAAACGATGCGGCCATCTTGGAAGAGAAATCCGGCAGGGCGTTATATGACACGAAGTCTCTGGACCATCATTACATGGGCACTGTTCCGTGGAATGCCCAGGTCGAGGATTACGTGGTACTCCTCGAGGGATTTAGGACACCATTCGTCTTGCGGAAAATCCTCGATGGGAATGAGTCAGGTGGTGGAGACGAGTTCCTGATTATCGGCGATTGCTATGTTCACGGCATCATGGATGGCGAGCTTTTGAGGCCGATTGATAGTTTCAAAGAGACATTGAAGGCTGAGCAAGTCGGAGTTGACGCCAAGGGAGAAGAGTATGTTGTGGAGGGCCTTGAAGGTTACCTACGCTTCCAAGACTTTGTCATTGTGTAGTTCAAAGCAGCTTTCTTCTGAGGTTAATCCAGTCAATGAAGTGTCTCACGATATTGCTTTTTCTTCCATTGATGTGGAGTTCGAAGTTCAGTGCCCGAGATCGCCGCCTCGATGTTAAATGACAACAGCATTTTCGACGATGCAAGTTCATATTATCCGTTTTGTCACGTTTAAATGGGGTCATTGCTAATTTTCAAAATTAAGGCCGGGTCCTAAAATTTGATGTTTTATTTTTCTCCGCGGAGTTATTGCCCTCCTCCAGCGGGTCATGCTGGAGATCGTGGTTACCTCGGGATGTTGTAATGCACCTGCGGGGGATCGGCATTAACCTCGGATGACTAATGGACAGCTGCTTGTCCGTCCCCAAGTCCCATCCAATTGTTTCAGCCCGTTTAAGGTTTCACTCGTTCCCGTCTCTCACCAAGAGAGGTTTCCTTTTATTCACACATCGAGACCTGTTGACAAAGTGCCTTGCTCAAATTCCCGGCCATGACTTCCTTTGAAGAGCGTATCGACACCGCAGTGCGGGATCGTGATATCCCCGGCATTATACTTCATGCTCAAGACAAGTCTGGTAAGCCAACTCCCACCAATATTGAAGTTGACCTCACCTTCAACGAATGCTGACAAGACCGCACAGGCAGCTTCCAATACTCACATATCTATGGAGATAACCTGAAAAGCTCATCACCTTTGTCAGATGATAATATCCTCACTCTTGCCTCCGTCACTAAGCTCTTCACGACAATCGCCGCCTTGCAGCTTGTGGAGCGTGGTTTTTTGACCCTTGACGGGGACGTATCTAAGCACATTCCGATACTAGCACAGAAGCCCGTTTTGACCGGCTTCACGGAGTCAGGCAAGCCCATTGAAGCACAGTGCAAGAAACCCATCACTTTGCGCCACCTTCTCACGCATAGCGCCGGTAACAGCTACGACTTCCTTAGCGATGCGACGCGAGAGTGGCAGTCCTACCACGGCCTCAAACCCACCCGTGGGTCTACCGTCGAGGAGCGCTTTGGGTATCCTTTGAACTACGAGCCAGGAGAAGACTGGGCCTACAGCTGTAGCTCAGACTGGACGGGGAGGCTGATTGAGAATGTGTCTGGGAAGTCGCTTGAGAAGTACATGCGGGAAAACATTTGGGACCCGGTTGGTGCATCAAGTTTCACGTTCGACGTCGAGTCTGTCAGATCAAAGCTATGGGGAATGAACACCCGGGACAGGGACACAGGGAAGATCATCCTCCATCGCGGAAGGGAGTTGAATCATGGAGTCACCGACTGTCTTGGTGGACAAGGATCCTATGGCTCGACTCCCGATGTAATGCGAGTTTTGCATTCGCTACTAGTTGACGATGGAAAGCTACTGAGTCCGGCGTCGACTTCCGAGATGTTCAAGCCTCAGCTGTCATCACAGGCCAAGAGCAGCCTGTTGAAGGCAATGGAAGAGCCAGAGTGGGCAGTTGGTCATTTCCCTGTGACGGGCGAGTATGACTGGGGCCTTGGAGGTCTGCTTGTGGATGGACACAGTCACCCATACCGGCGGAACGCAACTCTGATGTGGAGTGGTGCATCAAATGTTTTTTGGGTAAGTCTTCTCTCCCCTCACGTGGTTTGAACAGACGTTTTTTGACTTCTGGCAGTGGATCGATCGCCATGCTGGGCTTTGTGGTTTCTTTGCGACGCAGATGCTCCCTGCAGCAGAGGAGGGAGTCCGGCCGTACATCAAGGCATTTGAAGATGAGATGTACTCAAGAGCCAGGGGCACCAAGACACGCGCAGTGCTTTGAGAATAGACTAGATCCATCACAAGCGCATGCAAACTTGCATGAGACATTGCGTGCGATTGAAGTACTAGGTTGTGTATATCAGTTCTTGTTGAAATAGCGCATCACATTCCAAGGTAGGGTTCTCAACTTCTGATTTCGCCATCCCTCGGGGCACAAGCACTTACAAAAACATGAACAATTGCTCTCGTGGCAACCATACTCTCATGTGTTTTTGGATTGAATGATAGAGCGCAGATTGAGACACATGCATTATGTCAATGTGATGGACAATTGAGGCATTCGAAGTCCGAAGTTTTCGGAATCCCAGTAAAAATACAGTTTCAGATACCACCAAATCACTCGTTTAGAGCGGCTTACGGCACGGCCCGGCCGCTACCTACAACACTTCGCTCGTGGCTGGCATTGCATCCGCTTTCGCTGGCAGACAAGACCTCCACTGAAAATCAAGTCGGCTCAAACCCGGCACACCGACTATTGGGAAAGTGATTGTGCGGACGGACAAGGACCATTGTCAGATCACAACAAGTATCAAGTCCGCGCGTCAGTCGCATGGAAGTGCATGTACTGTGACCCAAGAATCTTGATGCCGAAAAAGCTTTGAACTTTCATTGGCGGGGGCACCAGTGTTTGAGGGCTGCGGTGCTATCCATGGTCTTCCCCTCCCTAAAGCGTGTACTCTATCACAAAAGTTTAGAGTTGGGAATCAAATTGCAGGTGAATGGAGAATTCCGTTCCTTTTGACACGGGCGATACTTCAGCGATACGGAATTAACACGCCACCTGGATTACCTGCAGGCAAGGGGAGGAAACGTTGAGGCTGTAACGTTGCTGATCCTGGCGTCAATTCATACGTCATGATATCTCTCAGCGACGATCACCGCTAATGACTTGCAAGAAATCCTGCACGCAATTTTCCAGGGAAGCAGAGCTCAAGTGGCATGACAGTACCCGGTTCACGGGACGCTCTACACCGACATGTCTGGGGACCTGGTCTGCTATCGCGTCTCTCAGAGGTCCATCGCTTGGAGATACGCCCACTGCTCGTGAACCCCATGAGGGATGGCACGTGTCAAGTCCCTTGGCAGTTATCGCTAGCTGGTGGAGTTGAGTCGTCTCCAACACCTCAACTCCAAGTCTGGTTGGATAAACCGCTGAAGATTCTCCACAGCCCGAGATTCCTTTAGGATAGGTCCGTCGAAGTCTTCAAGCTGCCAACCTCTGATCCATGCACACTGCTGCACCGCCCGGTGTCCCCGGTATGGTCCTGAGGGGGGGTTCCGTGTGGTCCTTGGCCCTTGGAAGTTGGGGTTGAGCTTAAGTGCATTAAATACCTAGACCTCAGACGATCTAATCTGTAACCCCACGATTTTTCACATCAACCCCCTCACCGACGTCGACTGATACCCTGGAAGGATTCGTAATGGCGACTTCGGGAGATGAGACGCGCTCACCTCCGGCGGCCGAAACCGTAGCTTCTCCAACTCATCCCGAGGATGATCCTGAGCATGGCGCGAACCCGGCGACGGGTATCATTGTACGCTTTGGGATACACAGCGAGCCCTGAACCGGGCAGAACGGGCAACTCTTCGCTAATTTTCGATGCGGTGATTAGGATGCTGACGATGGAGAAACAGACTCCGCCATCAATGTTGTACGTTGTCCAATACATACTATCGCAGCCATCTAGAACTCGCGACAGAAACCTATCTCAGTGTACAACTTATCACCTAAGGTACCTATGCTTACCGTGTCCCGTTTCAGTCAATCCGCGATTCCCTCACCTCCATTCGCTCATCCATTCTCAATTTTGAAGATGAGAACGGGCGTCTTTACCACTCTCATTCCCGAGGCAGTAAGTTTTCGAACCGTATACCCAATAGCCAAGAGACTGGTCTGATACATGAACAGAATATTACTTTCCTCACGATAACGTAAGTTAAGATCGCCATGATGTATCATAGATGAGCAGTTTGAGTGAATTTGATGCAGGTAGCTGACGGTTTATAGGTCGAACAAGAGCGGTTGGATCTACAGCACGAGCTCTTCATGAGAACGTTTAGAGGGCGTCTTTGCACATGCCCAAAGTCTTACGGGGCTAACAGAGTCCTGGATCTCGGAACAGGGACAGGAATCTGGGCCCTGGAATACGGTCAGTCATGTGCACATGTTAGATACCATTAGCCAACTGACGGACGACTAGCGGAGGAGCATCCCGAATCTGAAGTGATTGGGGTAGATATCAGTCCAGTGCAGCCTGACTTGTAAGCGACACCACAAAATTTTGAAGCTTATACCTACTGACCATCTTCAAGCATGCCTCCCAATTGCTCTTTCGAGATTGACGATCTGGAGAAACCGTGGACATGGTCAAAACAATTCGACTTCATCTTCTCTAGAACTCTGAGCGGCAGTATTCTGGACCCAGCCAAGCTGGTTGACAGCATTTACAAGTGAATCATCTCTAAATCCCTCTACGCATGTGCAATATTCTAACGCTTGATCACATAGCCAACTTGAACCCGGCGGCTGGTTCGAAGCCCAAGATGTCTGCATGGAGGCTCGGACTGACGACAATACTCTGCCCGAGAACAGCTACTTGGCACAGTGGGCTGATGAGGTGGTTGACGCCATGGAGAAGATCAATCGGACACTGAAGCTTCCCCTCAAGTGGAAGCAGCTCCTCATCGATCGTGGCTTCGAAGATGTTCGAGAGACCATTTACAAATGGCCAACCAACACTTGGCCACGAGACAAAACGATGAAGGATATTGGCGGATGGGGGCTGGCGAATCTTGATTACTTCCTCGAGACAGCGGCTCTTGGCATCTTAACTAACATCAAGGGCTGGTCGAAGGAGGAAGTCATTGTTTTGTGTTCACAAGCGAGGAAAGAGATGCGTGATCCAAGGATCCATGTTTGGTGGCCTGTGTAAGTTGTCTCGTCCAGACAGAATGCCTGTGGAAGCTTGCTCTGAGCGCTGTTACTGACTTTGATCTGTTAGATATGTCGTGTCCGGTCGCAAGCCAGGCACTCCAGCTCAGGTGCCTGCGGAGCCCTCGACAGCTTGAGTATTCTGACGTCCCCAAAGTATGAATGCCATCAGTTGTCAGGGGGTTATCCAAAAGCATCCCCGGAGAGTCCGTCAATATGCATGGACGATTATTGCGGTTTCTGTATGCTTATCATTATGGGCTTATGCTTCAAGGCTATCCTATGTTGATAGAAATCACTTCGCGCTATGTTTCGGGCAGTTCTCTTCTAACGGACCCTTTGCAGACTGAAGTTTGGACTCCAAAGTGATCACGCGAAAGCTATGCGATCCCACCAAGAGTGATCAGCCTACAGTTCATCTGGTCTCTCTAAGCCAGCTTCAGTGCCTTGGTTTTCTTCCTGAGCGCGCTTCTGGCTGTTGACTTTCTTTAGCATTCACGCATTTTAAGAGACCGTCATGGGATCGAGACGAACTTACTCTCTTCGCCTGTACATGTACCACATGAGTGTAACGCTGATGATTGCAAGACCTCCGAAAAGTATGAGGATTTGATAACCGTACTTATACTTTGGCGCATCATAGGTGGGAAATAGGACCACTGTTATTTTATTAGCGTAAAATACTTGAGCGGTATGTTCCAGGTTCAACCCACATGGTACCCAAAGAACCCAAGCGTAGGAGACGACGTTGGCAGTGGCCACGAGGAGCTGTCTAAGACTAGGATCACCCGCGTTGAGCCTATTGGCCCAGCTCTATACTTCATGTCAGAAACTGTCCTGCAGATGGTTTCAGTGAGGTACTCACGATGAGGACTGGAGTTGCTGCAGATCCAGCATACGAAAGGTAGTACGCAAACATCAACGCCCCCTTGGGGATATACCACACGGAAAGCAAGACATTGGACAATATCATCAGAGCCTGAACAATGACAATCATCGTATAGTTCTGTCCGGTTCGGTCTGCGATTATACCCCAGATGACTGTGGCAACGATGTTCAAAGCACTGCCGCCGGTTGGATAGATGTTTGCGTCTACAACACTGTAGCCAGCAGACTTCAGCCAGAGGTTGAAATAGCTGGTGGCAGTGTGACACGCCGCGACCATACTGCCAAGTTATGTGAGTTAAGGTCGGGATGGATGTGCCTCTTCGAGAGCGGAACTCACGTGTATGGCACAACAAATACCCAGATCTCCCAACCGAGATAAATGCGCTTGGCTTCCTTCCATGTCAACTTTTGTTGAGCCTTCTGTCCAAACTTCTCGATCCTATTGATACCATATTTGACATGCTGCGAAAGGTGAGTCATTCATACATGCATTCACGTTAGACTGGAGAATGCAGGAATTACGTACCTCGGCTGACCAGTAAAACGCTTTCGTGTTATGAGGCAGGTCAGGCAATCCGAAGAAGCCCCAGAAAGCAATCGGAAGTGAGATAATCGCGTCCATGATGAACAGCCATCTCCAACCTGCAATACCATGACGACCGTCCATGCTGGTGTATAGCCCTGCTTGCAAGTAACCGCTGAACATACTGGCGATTGATTCGACTTGCAGAAGTATGGCTAGGCGCTTTGTGAGCTCTTTTGGGCCGTACCAGCCACCCAGCATGGCGATGTATCCTGGGAAAGCGCAAGCCTCGAACAGACCGATGAAGAAGCGCAACGCGTACATCTTGTACCATAGATTAGTAGAAACGGCCATGATGTCTTCCAATGGCCTGCACTTACCGTCTCGATATTTTTGGCAAACCCCATGCCGATAACAAGCAACGACCAGATGACCTCGCAGGATGGAATGAGAACAGAGGGTCGGATGAAACTGAGTTGGGACATCTGAGCTGGAACACTGCCGACCATGATACCCAAACTGAACCAGGTGTTCAGCCAGTTGCGCTCATTTCCGTAGAGGCCCAGGTCAGTCTGCATGCCGCTGATGAAGGCATTGCCTGACAGGTAGTGTCAGTGTTATTCAGTTGCACAACCTGAAGATTGACTTACTGTAGTTTGTCTGATCAAGGTATTTTATGAAGTACCCGAAACAAACCGTAGGGCTAGAGAGCGGAAGGAACTTATTAGTCCTGGGGAAGTAAGGCCATATGACATACGGCAAGAGACTAGACTCACAAGAAGAAAGTATCGAGCCTTTGAACGTATTTCCGATACTCTGGGTCTCCATCAACAGAGTCCCATACGAGACCGACAATCTTCCGCCACCGGGAAGGGGATTGCTCGGGGATGGCCTCTGCGGCGTTTACTGGGGTCGTGTCTTTGACGTTCTTGTCCAGATCCGAAATGGCGTCTGACACTGCCACAGGGGCAACGGATTTGATATTCGACATGTCGTTCAGTGATTGGTGCCCAGAAAAAACGTGTCTGCACGCTCGCCCCAGCAGTCTGGTTTGGCGCAGCTGTTCGGTCGGTCTCACGTCGATATATACTTCGGCTTCCCCAAGAGGAACGATTTTTTCCGAAGCATCTAACCTCATTGAATTCATTCATGGTTACTACTGACATGGGCTAGATAGTCTCCTAAGCCTGATTTGCTACTGGTGGATGATGCCATCTCAATCCATGTGGGCGAGGTCACCTCCTTGACTCCTTTAGACCCAGTTTTGGTCCAAACTCGACTTCAAAACAACCTGCATGTACGCGCAGACAGATATTCTTCCATATCAAGGCTAATCGAAATGAATGACTGTACCTTAGGAGAGTTGTGCCGTTGTCGGACGTTGCAGCAAAGGGAATTCAATGTCGTGACTGGCTGCCCCACCATGTCGTTATCTCACTCCGCTCTGTCGCCTTGCTTGATTTCCGGCATCTTTGCCGATAATGACATTTTGCCCGGCAACTTTACTTGTCCTACCTACCTAGACATGGCCATTGAATGTCCAACTTGAATTAATCTGGATACATTCAGTCAGAATAGTTTCACTTCATAAACTGGCCATCTCAATTCAGTGAGATTTTCCAAGGACAACATCGCATCTGATAGTGTTTATTTCATCGCGTTTAGGCCAAAATATACAATGTCTCTGCATAAGGGCACAAGCAGATCGTTCGAAACATTCGGAGCCGATATCTTGTAGAAGGTACATGTGATGATAAGACGACTGTTATTCGTTGTCCATTGGAGGCAAAGGATCGCTGCAAGCCGGAGTGAATTGATTCAACCGGACTGTGCTTGTATCCACAACTCCCCCAGCCAGGTATATCCTCCTTTCTCCGCGATCGCAGGGTAGCTTGAATGTTCCGTTTACCCCGATACTTAGTCCATGTCCAGGAATGCTGATATCGTCAGTTCGAGGAGAAGTTATTCTATCCGGCCCCCTATCAACCATTTATCAAGACCTTTAAGTAAGAGAACGCTCTTCAGACTTCATGCAGCATGACGCCAGATATTCTTCGACTGTCTTTAGAGAATGTCGATTTCCGACTTCCGACTCAAGTTACAGACGACAATAGTGTGACAGCACTAAAAAGTCTGGTCTTCGAACCCCTCCTCCGATGGCAGCCCCATGGCCGTGTTAAGCCCGGGCTTTTTGACCGATGGGAACATTCCCCCGATGCCCGAGTCTGGCACTTTCACATCCGAGACAACGCCTACTTTCATGATAACCAGCCTTGCAAGGCTAAGGATATTGTCACCTACATCAATGGTCTCCTAGACTCGAGAGATTACTTCGGCATGCGCTGGAGTTATAGCCGCTATTTCGCGCAAACCAAGTTCTCTGCTGAGGATGATCGAACTTTGAAAGTAACGAACGCGGAACCTTTTGCGGATATCGAGGGTGTCTTCTGCGAGTTTTGGCCTTCCCGTATCGACACGAATGGCAAGCCGGTGCTTGGAACGGGCCCGTTCCGAGTCACCGAATTCGAGCGGAAAGATGGCACCGGTAGAACTGTTTTACAGCGGCTAAACCCAACGCGACATGCTTCACCTCATACCATCATAGCGACGATGGAGCCGAATGCTACCGAAAGACTCCGGCTTCTACGTGCAGGCGAGGTCGATGCTGCTCTCAATCTTGAGCGGGTCGATGATCTCAATCTTCTGGATTTCGACTCTGCTCTTCGATGGGGCCGAGTAACGAGCACTTTATCGGCTATTTACTATCTCAACTGTACGGAGGGCATCTTTACTTCACCAGAAGCACGTCTAGCTGTGAATTTCGCGTTGGATAATGACGCATTGGTGAAGGAAGTATACCATGGGTTCGCAAAGTCATCCGCTACCATCGTCAGCCCCTATCATCTCGGGTTTCCAGAGTCACAACTGCAACCGATTCCGTACGACCCCGAAAGGGCCAGAGATCTGCTCAAAAATTTTGACAAAAGCAAGGATCTTATCTTGAGAACACCAGTTTACATGCCAGAGCATGCCCAAAAGATTTCGAAATTTGTTGCATCATCCTTGGAAGCTGTTGGCTTCAAGGTCCAAATCAAGGTTGAGACCAATCGACCGGAATACGCCCGCCAAATAGGACTCAAAAAGGAGATTGGAAGTCTCGCCTTGTTTGACTCGACACCAAACAGCACGTTTCGTGTTTTGGATGACAAGATCTCCAGTTCGTCACATGCAACGTGGTGGCTTGGTTATCGCGATGATAATGTGCAAGAATTGTTTCATGAGGCACGAAACAAGATCAGCTACGATGATAGAGCTGAAGCGTATGCGAAGACTCTTGAAAGAGTGCAGCAGAATCCTCCGTGGTTGTACATAGGTCATCCTGATGTTATTTGGGCAACACAGCATGATGTTGGACTTCAGATTGGGCACTCGGGGGTGCTCACGCTCGACTCATGAGCAGCAATCTGAGGAGTAGAAGAGGATCAAGCAGGAGTTATGGGAAGTTTTAAAAGTCTTGAACCCTCTGTGGTGATCTTTGAGTACCTATACATGTAGTCGCGGGCAAGAGCGAGCTCTTTCACTGGATCCTCTTCACGTCAAATACGAGTTTAAAGCCATTGGAGTCAGGAGCCTAAACTCTTTGATGCACTCTTCCTGGAGCTATCCAGCCGCGAGTTCCTTCTGCGGAACCTCCGCAATGGGACCGAAGACCCGGATCCACTCATATAACCCCTCGGTACATAAGCCAGGCGATGTCGCCGACTGCGCTTCACCCTTCAGTCTGACACTTTCTTGATCGATGCCTCTAGTCTGTGAAGTTTGCAATGAGCTCCTCGGTACATATCGACAACTTGCAAGCGGCGGCTAAGAGGTTTGGCGCTGAGCCACTCCTAGCTCTACCAAATGGTACGACTCTCGATTTATCGAACGGTTACATTCCACTACTTGCGCGATACACTTTCGAAGACAAAACCGCCCAAGGCCTGCGAAAGGGCAATGCCGGGGAGAAACCGGAAAATCCGATTCATTTCTCCGTTCTGGAGCTAGTCCGCGACAACTCCATCTTGCTCTTGACGGGACCCAGTGGAAGCGGGAAAACTACATTTGCCAAGCATCTCTGCTACGGCCTAGCTTCTTCTGGGTTCAATAAAGCGCGACCACTGTCTCGAAACGACCTTGGTGATATCAAGGAAGAGTACTGGGGCACTGCCAGACTGTCTCCTTGCTATTTTCCACTGACTGGCATCGAGGCTCTGGAACGATTGGCCGAAGTCACGATTCCGAAACTTCTCAGCGCATCTGACCCTCGACACGAGCATCTTCTTATCATCCTCGATGATCTCCAGAACGCAGGGGCTGAGTCGATCACTTTGCTGGCAAGGATATTCCCCCTCCTGCGGGAGCGAGCCTTCACCAAGCTGCTTTTGCTTGGCGATGCAGACGTGCTTGACCACTGGAGTTTCCCAGCCGAAGTCGTCCGTCACGATCTGCTTCCCTTGCTAGAGTGTCAAAGACGGGAGACAGCGCGTTTGCACCTGAAACTGGAATCGTCGGCTCTCATAACTACTGGCATGGGTGAAGCTGCGTCGAACCCAGCATTATTCGCTCTTGCGATCCAAGCCAACCACTCTGGGAACTGTGCCGAGGAGTTGCTAGATGCGTGGCTTTCGTCCACCTACTCGCAGCCAGATACTGCAGCAATCCTAGCAGAAAGGGCACATAAGCTGATAACACACGGATCACTGACTGACAGCCCAACCGAAAGATCATTGACCACGCGTCAGCCTAACCCTGCCTCACAAAGCCTGGCTGTGCGACGGCTGCTAGCTGCACGGCACCTAGCTGGTCTGGCACCGCGAATTGCTGTCGAACTCTTCCGTGATCAACCTCAAGCTTCAAACCATGTCTTGAGGAGCTGTCTGTTGCGTCTCAGCTCCTCACACAAGTCTGCTGCCCTCATTGACGGGCTCCTCGAAGGCATACTAGCTGACGCTACATGTAAGCGCGCTGCCTTACTTGTGGCTGGTCTCATCCCGTTATCCGTGGAAGTCGAGAGCAAGGTCAAAGACCTGATTCTGCAGATCGTCGAGAACGGAGATTTGTCGGCTGGCGAGCGCGAGAAAGCCGGTCGCCTCCTGTCACGATATGGCGACCCACGAGATCTTACTGGTCTCGTACAAGTTCCCGCCGAAAGCTTCATGATGGGCTCCGAAAGCCATCCCAATTCGCAGCCTTTGTATGAAATCCCACTTAAGAGGTTTCGAATCGGACTCTATCCTGTCGTCAACAGAGACTATGGTGCCTTCATGAGGGATACTGGTCGCGACTGGACTAGTCTTGAAGGCGAGGACCCGGAGAGATCAAATGCACCAGCGACCGATCTTACATGGCACGACGCGAGGGCTTACTGTCGATGGCTTACAGAAAGGTGGAGAGAAGAGGAAAGGATCGGCTCGAGTGAGTACGTGAGACTTCCGTCAGAGCCAGAGTGGGAGCGCGCGGCCAGGGGTGACCAGGATGAGACGGGCACTGAAGGGCTAGTTTTCCCTTGGGGTACAAATTGGCAGGAAGATGCTGCCAATGGCGACGAGACTGGCTTCAATACGACCTGTGCTGTTGGTCTCTTCCCAAAGGGGCGCTCGCCGTACGGCTGCTACGATATGGCGGGGCATGTATGGGAGTGGTGCTCGACTCTCTGGAGCGAGGACATGGCAACGCCAGCTTTCCAGTATCCTTGGCAGGATGATGAGCGAGAGTTTCTAGATGCCCCAGATCATATCCGAAGAGTATTGAGAGGCGGGTGCTTCTCAAGCCCAAAGTTGAAGGCAAATTGTACGTATCGGGGGTAGCCTCGAACCAACCGGATTCTGGAGAGGGAACGGGTTCCGCATCGTTGTTGCGTCGCTAGACTAATAGGTTTGAAAGAAAGCAGGCGACTCTGCACTATGAAACCTTCAAGATCGATACTGGGAATACTCTCAACAGTGAGACTCATGCTCTAAATGGTTATCCCTGGCTTCATTCCATTGTCTCAAAGACTGGCAGAACGCGATTACATCATGCCGGCATCCGGCGGGTCCAACTTCGAAAGTCCCGGCGCGATGGATGCAGCTCAGATTCGGCCGGTGTCGGGGGCAATCGGGGGATCTGGCCGGAAACACAATAGTGGATAAGCATCGCGTCATGTCGCCTGGGCCCGGGAGTCTGGTTCGTGTAGGTGCAGCTTAACTTATATGTCCGCTTGAACTCCGTCAGTCTGTCTACATGATCTTCTTTACCTTATTTCTCCAAGGCTGGCTATTATTTCAAGGATTTGAAAACATACCTAGCGGCTTAATAAGCTAGATCGAACGTGTAGGTCATCTTCCGCAAATATGCCGATTATTCCCGAGCTCAAGCTTCCGGAGGATGCGAGCGCCCTAGGGCGGTATACGACAAATCCCACAGCCCCTTTTTTCATCACATTCACCACGTCGGACCATCCTGATACGGGAGAGTCATGGTGCCCAGATGTCCGAGCCGCACTCCCTCACATCATAGCCGCCTTCTTGCCTTCAAGCGCACCCGAAATGGCCTTCGTCGAAGTAGGGCAGCGGCCTGAGTGAGTAGCTGAAAGATTGACCTTTGCAATTTGTTGGGGCGAGCATCCGCTAAATATTAGTGGCAAACCAGGTGGAGAGTCCCTACAAATGTGTTTCGCACCAAGTGGAACGTCAACAATGTGCCGACAATTGTTCGGTATGAGCTTTCAGATGGCGAAGTGAAGGAAACGGGTAGACTCGTAGAAGACGAGATACTGGATGAGAAGCGACTGAGAGAACTAGTCCGCAATAATTCATGAGTTGTGGACCTAAGGTAGGCCTAAACTTCCCGTCACGCCCGAGAGACTTGAGAGGTAAGCTTTCAGGCGTGATGTAAGCGCCATGGCAAAGCTTATTTTCCTGGTCGAATGATTACTCTGTTTGCTTTTTCTGCTTGCTTTCCAAGTTCTCACACACCACAATCATCGTCGCATTTCTCAGCTGGCTATTGTCCCAGGCAGCAGCATCTAATTTGCCGTCTTAGCCGCCTGTTCAAGCTTAAAATGACGAGCCTGTGCCGCTCGCTAACATCGATCAGTACTAGTCTACTGAGCCAATCTCGGCCGCATTGGCTCCCGTTTGCTGGTGCTAAGGATCAGGGGCAAACATGAATCCTTCGAAAAATTCTCAGGCATCGCCAACAACGCTGTGTTCTGATACGTGTCGTTCCATTCTGAAAACTGCACTGTCTTCTCGTCTTCACAGATCATAAGTTTCCTTGTAATACTCATCTCCTGTTCAATCGGTGTTTCTTCATCAGTCGCTCGCTACAATTTCACGATCAGTCTCTCGACGCCTCAAACATGATCTCGTCAAAATTCCTCTGCCCTTTGGGCGTTTTGCTAGTAGGCGCGTCGCGTGCCTTGGCGTTCGACCGCATTAGCATCCCAACCACGGTCAAGGCCGACACCGACGTCGAGGTCACCATCAAAAACGATATCGCATCCGGAAGCAAGTCTTTCGACGCCGGTTTCACCAACTACAACCTCTACCTCTCAACCACTCCACCAGGATGGGGCACCGGCCCCGTGTGCGTCCTGGCCAACGGGACAAAGATCGATGTCACCTCCGTGAAGGTGAAGATCCCCGCCGACGCGATCCCTGAAGGCTCCGAATTCAAGATCACGGCGATGGAGTGGAACTCGGATCCGACCAAGGACGGGCCCTCGGGCTTCGAATACAGCAACGACTTTTCCTTCTCGGGCGGCACGGGAGAATGGGGCAAGACAGAGCTGGGGGGCTCCACGCTGGGCGACATGGATCGCATCCCGTGCACGGCGTACGCGTGCGCACGCAACTGTAACGACAAGTACTTTGACGAGAGGAACACGACAAGCCAGGATCCCAGCGTTTACAAGAACACGTACGAGTGCGTCGCCGCATGTCCCGGCACGACATTCCCGTCCTGGGATTCAATCATCAACGATAACGGGGATGGCTCGGGCTCCAGTGCGGGACCCTCGGGAAGCGCTTCGGCAACGGCAACGAGATCCGGTGCGTCGGCGACAGCCTCAACGTCCCCGACAGGGTCGTCAACTTCTACCCCGACTGCAGCTCAAAGTAGCAGCTCGCCGTCTCAGACACCTAATGATGCCGTCTCGGTTACTGCCAAGGCCTCTGGCCTTGTCTATGCTGGCTTGGCCATCGTGTTTAGCTTTCTCTAGTCATGAACTCGGCGATTATGGGCCATGTACGGCTCATTCGTACTGCAGGATATACGGTGTGCTATCCACAGGTATTTAGATATTTCTAAACATTACTCATCAAACCAATGACCTTGCACACTACGCTCATTTTCTCGGCGAGAGATCCCAAACAGGAAATGTATTCCACCCACGATCATGACAAATCCCATATCGCGAGACCGACGATCCACGGGCACAGAAATGACCATACAATCCCTGAGAAGTATAGTAGCGCGCCGCCTTGTCCCACGTTGGTGCGTCGGCCTAGGACAGAACCAGTAACAATCTCCCCGTGGTTGTACGCACATGCGATCCTAGCGACAGTTTTTTGGGTCCCCGGACCGTGAACTTAAATAGGTGACAGCTGCATTTACAGCTAGTCAGTTGCCTACAGACACAAGCTTTATAGATTGATCAGGCGGGAGAGATCTTATCCGCTGATAAGTACATAATTCCGATGCATGCTTTCCTATTTGCCCACTACACGCGCGACATGGGCTATTCCAGTGTAACCGAGGTTCAGGTCGTCTAGACATAATTAGCCCGAGCATGGCTTACACGAAATTTGAAGGGAGTGCTTTGCAATGTGCCGGCACGTGGCATGAGCTTCCCTTACCCTCGATTTAGTACCTATCGCTCTTACGAAGGCAGACTTACCAGTGGCTCAGGTTAGGTACACAGTACCATGATTATTGCTTGCAACGTCATTGAGATACACGAATCTGAAGTTGCTTTTGATCTAGCATCGAGACGCCGAATCCATTCATTTCGATTCGTGATCATTCTTGAGGCGGCTAAGCTATTTACAGTTTGCCTCCAAACATGGCTCTAAACTTGTACTCCATAGGCTTATGAAGCATAACAAATTGATATGATCATCCTCAACTTCAAGGTTTCAGAGTCGAATACATAGTATGACTGAAGACCGTTGTGGGTATACTACATGTACATGCATTCGTACCCGTGTTCGCCGTTGTAGAGGCCGCCGCTGGTAAGAGCCGGTAAGTACCTTGATGATCACGGTAACCACATCGAGTGTCCAGTATTGTGTAAACTCAACACACATGGCGAATCCGACGAATTGCCTGAGTGCGTATCCTTACTCAAAGAAGCTTTTCGTGTTCATCAATTTTTGAGAGAGTAGGGGTAGAGACTGCGCGACCATTGCCGAACAAGTGCCCCGGGATCCGGTTTCCGAACTACTGTATGAACCCACGGAACTGTCTTGGAGTCAGCCCGTAGACTTGCTCGTGGTACCGAGAGGGGTGCAACTCTGGTCGCGCGGTCGTGTCTTCGTAGTTTTTCGATGGAAAATCCTCAAATAAGGGGGGAAATAAGGGATTGTTTTTCGCTCGATAAAATCTAGTACAACTTGCAGACGTACAACTGTCGGGGCATGAAGTGCTTTTCGAAGCTCGGCTTGCTCTGGTAATCGAAGTCTGCTTGTGGTGTACCTGCAGGGATTATTGCAGCTAGACCGGACATAACTCCCAGTAAAGCCCGTATGATGACAGGTTAGATAGAATTTCGATGCACTCCGCCTAACCCACACCCTATTGATAGAGCGTACGAAGTACTTACCTTAGGTAATTCGACGTAGTCCACATCAGGTAAGCGTTCCGGAAAGGGAGATATGCCTTTTCACGGGATTTACAATGTATCATCGGCGATTTAGAAACATTTCGGCCGCATATTAACTCCGTCTTACTGACGTTCATTGTTCAGTCGACATTGCGGATTTCACACGACTTTGATATCTCGAATGATGGGCCTTGCGAAAATTGAAACAGGGGACTGAAAATTATAATGTACATACGTGTATCCGTAGATCCAACGGTACGGAAACTCTACATACCCTGGTCTGTTTTCTTAGCGTTAGTGGTCGAGTTGGGATATCATCCGCCGAGTTTCTACCAGATGTAGCTGGCAAACTGACAAATCATCACTGCTTTTCGGTCTCGCTTTCGACCTGTAAGCATAACATCGCTCCTGAAAAGCTTGTGCTGTCCTGCTAAGGTATGCGGAAAGTCCGCTCTTTACATACAAAACTGCACTGGCCGGGCTTAACCTATTAGAGTCTAAACAGCTACCCCTGCCTTGGTTCCCTTCACCCAAGCCCGTGCGTCCCCGCGAGTCCCACGGATTCCGCGGCTCACATAAACAAAAAGGCTCGAAGAACCCATAAGCAAAAGGGAAGCTGTAGCCGTACGGAATCTCAGCCCGTCCTAGTAGTCCAAGGGCAGTCGTTGAGAGGGCATCATTATTACTTATAATCCGACGACGTGGGTTTTCTACTACATCATGGACCCGGAGCCGCATACACCCAAAACAAGCGTCATTCCTAGAGCTGTATGTCTTCCCTTTCGGAATCCGCGCCTGGCGGTCGACTATGCTAACTACCGGTATCCCACTCTAGTGCCACAACTGTCGGATCCGTAAGGTATTTATGATTCTATGTCCGAGTCCCCTGTCGTCAATGGCCGGCCGAGATCTTCCGGGCTGGTCCGCGGCACGCGTTCCGCGCCATCGCCTCCGCGGTCCCTTTCGCTTAGCATTCGAATGATCACAATCGCCGGACTGACGAGCAGAATTCTAGACACGCTGCAATCGAGAGGTTCCTTGTTCCAATTGCGTCACATCGAAAATTCCATGCCGACCGGCAGGGCGACACACTGCACAGCGGCCAACGGTTGAGAGGGTCGAAAGGTACGGGTGACAAATGGCGCCGTCACCGAGTGATTTTGGGTTTGAGCTGACATTTCAGCCGCAGCCATAGTCCTGGTGCGCCGACAATTCACCAACTGCATGAGAGATTGAAAGCCGTCGAAGAATCTCTCAGGAATCAAAATGACCAGCACGGCAACAGGGCGACGTCAATTTCTACGCCAAACACGATCCCGACCATTGAGGATGATGCAGTCTCACACCACTGTCTGTGGGAAGACCACCACGTTTCGTACGAGGGCGAATCTTCATTCAGGCAACAGACTCTACTTGCAAGCCAGATAGAGGAACTCCGACTTGAAGAGGCGCAGACCCCGGGCGTGATTGACGAGCTTGCAACGTTGCGAGGGATATGCCAACGACAAGAGACCCCCGTAGAATCGCGATCGAACCGGAAGATTCGTCAGCCTCATTCAACAAAAGGGGCAGAGTTGCAGCTTCCACCATCCGAGTTCGTGATTCGTCTTCTCCGGACTGTGAGCCGTAAGTCACCCCAAGCTGGCTTTCAGTCTCAGCCGCGAAGCTAAGCCATCTCCAAAAGCAGATCACTCCATCTTGTTCCTATTCTACGCAGTCGAAAATCGCAGTCAAGTCGAAGAACTCTGTCGAAGGGTGTACTTCTCTGTAGAGCCAGTGACGATTGGAGAAGTCACCTTGCTGAATGGCTTTTTATCGGTGCTCCTCAGAGACATTGATTTCGAGTCAAATCCCGAATTCAGCCCAGAAGAAGCCAACCGGTTGTACACCATGTGCAACTCCAACTTCAAGGCTGGAGTCGAGACTTACGAAGTGATGGCGGTACCTACATTTGAGCATACCCTCATATTATCCATAGCGGTCAGTAAAGCTCGAGTCTGGTCCGTGTTATGTTTTCGAGACGGTCGAACATGTGAACTGACTCGAGCCTCGAGCATGTAGTGTCTAAAGGCACAGCAGGATGGAAACTTGCCGCTACAATGGAGCCTCATGTCCGCTGCCGCCCGACACGTCCTAGCATTAGGTTATCATCGAAGGGGGAAGTTGGCCGCGTTACCGAACCAAGAAGCGCGGCGGGCACGACGACTCTTCTGGCACGTATACTTTGCAGACCGGGGATTGACCCTCACACAAGGGAAAGCGCCACTTATACAAGACATTGATGTCGATGTCGAGCCATTTGAAATCATTCAAACGCCGGAGAGGAAGCCCTGGGATACCTCATTCTCCGCCTTCATCGAATTCGGAAGAATACAATGCAAGATCTACGAAAAGCTTTACTCTCCAGCAGCATCCCGGTCTACGGGGGAGGAGAGGCGGGCCGTAGCAGTTCATCTTGCAAAGCGCCTATCGACGTGGTATGAATCATGGCGCAGCGTCGACTATTCCCACGCATACCGAGTAGAACTGTTTCAGTTCACGTTTGATGCGCTCGAGGTCGTCTACTATTCCATCCTAACACTCATACATCGTGGGGCAAGCAGCTCGAATGCAGCCAGCGCCATCACGGAGGAATGTTTCGACGCGGCCAGGAAAGGCTTGACCGCTCATGCTACCGCATACCCCCGGTCCGCTTCGGGAGGATATGCCTCTCTATTCACTTACGCCGTCTGGTACTCTACCTTTCCTCATCACAAAGATCAAAGACCGTCAGCTCATTCTCAAGCAGGACACAGCTCTATTCCTCATATACGCCTTACATTATCACCTTTCTCCACTGTATCAGAAACTCAGACGATCAAGACCTGAACCTAATGCGCTCCTCACTGGAGATCAGCGAGCGCCTAAGTGGCTTGGTGGAATCCTGCAAGAGGCAATATGAATTATGTCGGGCCCTGTACCGCATAGCAGAGGCCTATATCAAGGCGAAGAAGGGTGTCGCGTGCACCGCCGTACCGGCTGAGACCACCATCACTCTACCCCTACAACAACCGACGACTGATAGCTGGCCCTGCTTCGAGTCAAATCTGGAGGCGAATGCGTTCCCGGACCTCCATGTCGATGACTGGAATGGCTCTTACATGGGACAGATGTCATTCACCTTGGAGAACCATCTCGGAAAGGGCGGTCATTAGCTAAGATGATAGCAAACCGTTCAAACCGGGCATGCCCCGCTTCCAGAATCGATCAGGCTATGACGTGATGCCGAAGTCACAACTCATTCAGTTCCCAAGAGTCCAGAGCCTCCTCCAATATTGCCTCGGCCGATCGATCCACTTCCAGCTGGGACCTTCGCAGAATCAGACTGACCTCGTAGCTTCTAGGGCTCGGTTGCAGGTTACGTAACTCTGCCAGACACTACCGATTACCGGGGCTTATCCAGACTGATAGCCAGGCGTCTCCCACGAAGGGGCTGGGCTGGCGGCTCATGGATGATACAGTCGCCAGACCTTGCCGCCCACTTCTCTAGGTATTCTCGGTATCGTTCATCGATATGGTTACCTGAGTGCCGTCCTGCCCATCTGAAGCGGCCTGTGTCTATGCCGGTAAGCAGGTCCTAAGGGTCGAGATAGTATGGTCGTTGTGTAAGAATCAAACCGGGAAGGTCCTAAAAAGAGTTAACCCCCCCCCCCCCCCCGGTGCTGAATTGGGGGCTATATCTCTGGTGCTCATGCTGGGATTCGAACTCGGGTACTCGCTAAGCCTGTCGTCGAGTAGGCTGGTTGGCGTAGGATTGACTGTCGACCTTAAACCACTCCACGACCCAGCCAATTTGACCTGACCCGTCGACCTAGACGGGCGCCTGCTGGCTGGTGGCTGGAATGGAATTGAGGGGGCCTATGTTGGCTTCCTCCTGTGTTTATTCGGGTCCATGGGTGGCTGAGAGGTTGTCGGATGGAAGTTCGGTGGCTGTGATCGTCTCTGCCTGGTCCTTCGACGCTCGACTACCTCAGGCAGGCACATCTTTATGGGAAAGGACGGTACTATTGGCAACACATACCTTCAAGTTGTCTCTAAGAATATATACCTTACAACTGAGATAGGGTGTAACAAGTGTCATCCAAAGGCGAGAACCTCTCAACTACATGTACTGCTCAGCCCAAAGTAGTGTGTATAGCGTGCATGGCTTGAGCAGCGTACCCAACGTGATGGACTTGCTGGTAAAGAAGCGGAAGAAAAGGGAGAGCCTCAAGGAGCAAAAAGTCGTGGGGATGTCTTGTTTAACTTGTCGAAGGGAGTTGGAGTCAAACCCCACTCCTATGCGCCGATTCCACCTTATTCAACCAACGGGCGGTGCCGCAATCGTGCCCATTTACACTTGACCTTGATCGATGAAAAATATCCGTGTCCGCCGCCATCTACCCGCACGGCCCGCACCTGTACATGAGCGCTAGCAAGGGTGAAGGAGGAGATATTGGAGCTTCGGGTGCCTCAGAACATGCCGTAAAACCAAATGCGCATATCAGAATCTCCTCTGAATCTTGATCGAACGCTTGCGACCAGGTTCGTCTTTTGTCTTGGCTGTGACTCTGATGCGCGCCTGCAACTACAAGACGTCGTCATCGGGCTTCGGACGGGTGCTAAGGCCCGAGCCTCGAGGTAGACTACCGCATAGGACTTCATGAAAACATACTTATAGCTAACGGCGATGGTCTCAAACTGGGAAGATTTGTTTCAGCCCTTTCTCTTATATCTTTCGCGGACCTTGCAGATTGCCCAGATCTTTCAACTTTAGCGCTGGACATTTCCCAACATGGCATCTGCCACTGGAAGCCTTTGCACACAAGCAGCCCAGCTTCTTTTCGCCCTCTTTATTTTCATTTCCTTGGTGCGTATGAAGCTCTCAGCACCTATGGTAGTTCCTTATGTTGTCTAATATCTCCTCTCGGCTTACACCTTTGGCTGTGTGCTAGTTCATCTCTTACGCCCTCGGCAAGGCTCTATACAACGTCTTCTTCCATCCTCTTCGAAACTTCCCTGGGCCCAACTTATGGGCTACGAGCCGTGTCCCCTATAGCCTCGCCCAACTTGGCGGGAAGCCTCATAAGCAACTTCTAACCCTCCACGACAGGTACGGTCCCATTGTCAGAATCGCCGACAACGAGCTATCCTTTATATATCCTGATGCGTGGAAAGATAACAACGGCCATCGCAAAGGGGGCGTGCCTGAGAACATAAAGGAGCCACTGGCCATCCTCGGCAACGAACACAATCTCTTTGGTGCGAACCTTGAAGACCACAGTCGTATGCGCCGCGTTCTTTCGCACGGGTTCTCCATGCAGGCCATGAAGGATCAGCAACCTCTCATCTCGGCTCACGTTGACCTCCTACTACAACGGCTGAAGAAGCATGCAGCCGGAGGGACTCGGCCTATTGATATGGTGTCTTGGTATAACCGCGTCACATTCGATGTCATCAGTGACTTGTCCTGGGGTGAGCCGCTGGGATGTCTAGAGAAAGAGCAGGACCACCCGTGGATCGTGGCCCTGGGACACACAGTCAAGTACCAGCTATACCTTGGACTTGCTAAGCGCTTTCCTCTCTTCACCAACTTACTGAAAGCATTCATCCCAAAGGAGCTGACCAGACTGGAACAAGAGAACTTTGCGTTGGCTGCAGCGAATGTCGAGAAGCGGATTGCTCTAGCAGATTCCCGCCCAGATTTCATGGAATCAATGATCCGACAAAAGGGGGATAGGGTAAGTCACACCATCAGAGTCGAGGTTAACACCGCCTTCCAACTGGTCGTTAACGGATTGTTTTCCATTATAAGGAGATACAAAAACATGAAATGGTCAGCAATGCCTTCCTGCTCATGCTCGGTGGCTCCGAAACGTCCGCAACCGCACTCTCAGCAGTCACGTACTTCTTGACCTCTCACCCAGCGGTTCTGTCCAAACTTACCCACGAAGTCTTCTCTACTTTTCAATCGGAGGAAGAAATCAACATCAACTCTGTTCAGAACCTCCCATATATGCTAGCCGTTCTAGATGAAACCCTACGGCTGAACCCGCCCCTTCCTCACTCTTCGCCGCGGGTGGTGCATAAGGGAGGCGATACTTTCTGTGGGTTCTATGTACCGGAAGGCGTAAGTTGCCCTCTTTATACCGGCAGCCGTTGAAGGACCAGGAGACAAGAGCTGTGGACAGCAATTACTGATCTACTGTACAGACCGTCGTTGGAAATCCCCAGTGGGCGATGTATCATAGCTCTCAGAACTTCACACTCCCAGAGTCTTTCATCCCAGAGCGCTGGCTGGGTGATCCTCGCTTCGTCGGTGACCAAAGAGAAGCCAGGAAGCCCTTCAGCTTTGGACCAAGGAACTGCATTGGAATGAAGTAAGTCTAAGTTAGAGAGCCTTTCAACGAGGTGTCGAGTATATGGGCTAACAGACCCAACTAGCCTCGCATACACAGAAATGAGGATTATTCTTGCTAGGATCATTTGGAATTTCGAGATGAAACTTTCTGATGAGAGTCAAAGGTGGACTGAGGGGCAGGACGCGTGGGTTGTTTGGAAAAAGCCCGCGTTGAAGGTGTACTTGACACCTCGGGATTTGCTTGAGTCCAAGGCTCATTAGGAGGCACTTCTTGGGCGGGGTATGACCTCCGCTCATGATGGACTTCCAAGTCATGGTGCAGATTTCAGAGTGTTGCGGTCAATTCCTGCTTGGACTATCTTACTTCACATCAGCTCCAAATATGAACAGCGAAAGAGGGAGGTGTGAGAACTGAATTTGAGACTGGTTGTTGAACGACTCTCGTGATGGTGGCGATCAGGGAGCTTAATTCTACCTGATTTGGTCATGTGGATCATATCGAGGATGCGAAAATAAAGCGATTCGTCAATTGGCCAGACTAAATACGATCATTCTGTCATTAGAGACTCGTCAACTTCTTTGGTATTGATCTCGACATGCCTCATAGGGGCAAATGTAACCCATGCCAGAATCCGCCCTTCTAGACGACGTCTGCGCCTTCCGCGTATAGACATTGTATCTAGCCATCGAACCCCAGATCCAATTCTGGAGATGCGGGGTATGACCCATGCCCACAGTAGGTCACAACATATTACATTAATGGTTAAGGTAGGATATCGGGACTTCGATCACCCCGTAAATCGGCAGAGCGGGTGCTTGTCGTACCTGTTTATGTTTATTCTTCCATATTAAGCCATCTTAAGCGCTCGCGATAGCACTCGCTAGGAGACGTATAAGAATATTCAAATTCATGTCGCAACCACATCATTGCTCCTTCAAGCTATCAACCACACATTCGACAATCAACATGGCTCAATTTCAACCCTTCTACTTTTTATTCACTTTAGTTCTCCTCGCAAATGTTGAGGCTCAAGAAACTACTACTAGTGACTTGAGAAAGTTGCCTCAGTTTCGCCACAAGCCTAGGATGTTCATTTTAACCGATATTCTCAATGAGCCTGATGACCAGATGTCGGTGGTGCGCTATTTGACATATTCAAATGAGTTCGACACCATAGGTTTAGTCGCCACAACCTCCGTTAGCATGCCAAACGAAACGCACCCAGAGGCTATCGAGCTTATTATCAAAGCATATGGCGAAGTTGTCTCTAATCTGAACAAACATGTGCACCCCAACGCAACTTTCAGTCCGGCCGATGGCCTTCTTAGACTTGTAAGATCAGGCCCAAAGGTAAGTGACTGATTCTTGCCCAGTGATTGTGAACGCCCTTTATTGACTTGTCCTCCCCAGGTATACGGCCAGCAGGCTCTCGATGAACCGTTAAGCGACGGCGCCAGACTCCTTGTCGAGGCGCTTGAAGCGGACGTTGATCCGTTGTTCGTCTCCATTTGGGGCGGATCCAACACCCTCGCGCAGGCCTTACAGTTTATTAGCGCACAACGAACTCCCAATGAAGCAGCCGAGCTTCGGTCCAGGCTTCGGGTCTACTCGATTTCGGACCAGGACGATTGCGGCCCATGGATTCGGGCCAACTGGCCAGATATTATGTACATCGTCAATGTGCACGGCTTTCGGGAATTCCAAGCTTCCTCATGGAGCGGCATAAACGGCGCAGATAACGGTGCTTCTAATGTGACGAAAACACAAGACGATTGGTTGACTCCCAACATCCGCATCGGCCCTCTGGGTCAGGTGTATCCCAAGATTCTCTACGGCATGGAGGGCGACTCGCCGAGCTTCATGTGGCTGATACAAAACGGCCTCAACAGTGCCGGGCGCCCAGACTGGGGTGGCTGGGGTGGTCGGTATAGTCGTGTAACCGAGGCTAAGGACATCAATGAATATGGCACATCCATGGATACAGCAGTATCTATGTCTGGCCTGAATCATCAAAGCCCAGGCGCCACTGTTTGGCGGTGGCGAGACGCTTACCAAGACGACTTTGCTGCGCGAATGCAGTGGACAGTCACGGATCGATTCGAAGACGTAACTCACCCGCCCAATATCAATTTGAACGGCTCCGTCGGTCTTGATGCTATGGAGGTCTTTCTGCCGTCCAAAGACACAATCGTTCTGAATGCCAGCGCGACCTACGACCCTGATCACCCCGAAGACTCGACTCATCTTGAGTTCGAGTGGTATGCCTACACGGAAGCCTCCGTTGCTTGGGCTAGTGGATATTTCGAGGGGCTCATCGAAATTTACCCTCTATCACCGCCACCTGGTACACCCGGTTATCTCGAGGTCAACGATGCGGGGTTCAGGAACGTCACGACTGGTCCGAAGGTCCAGATCACAAACAATGTGCCAAGCATCTCGCGGCTTCAGGGAGCATTATGGCATGTTATTCTCCAGGTGAACAACAACAAGGGTCAACACTCGGTTCGCAGGTATAAGCGAATTCTGATTCGAGACTCGGATAGCAAGAAATGAGTGGAGAGCAGAGAGCTTCGACGCCATGGTCTGTAGGCTAAGCAAAATATTATCTTCATTCACTGGGGCCATGGATGATGGAGAGGATTAAGGGGATTCCGCAAGCAGAGATTACATAGAATTTGTAACTCCTCTCCCATTCACAGTATTATTTCTTACCGGTATCTTCTCTCATGAAACAAATCCTGTGAGATTTGGAATGCATGTGGATTTTCATCTCTCCGAGTGATCCCCGGTCTATGAAGAGCTCATGCAAGGCTCTTAGAGTTTAGTAGAGACATCGGGTCGTTTATCTTAGTTCAGCCGACGCATATCTAACAAGAATCTAGAACAATTCATCGACGTTCCTGCGGCGTAGCGGCCTGATCCCCTCCTTCGAATCCCCCTTGCCTGAGATAGTTATCCACCAGCGCGGCCTCAGTGCGACTCCGAATCTCGTCCAGCGCCGGCTGTGCGGTAAGCCAACTCGCCACGAGCATGCTCTTCATCTGCCAGGTCGAGCTGAACCGTCTGGCGTTGTACCAATCAAGATTGTGGCGTCCGAGCTCCGGTTTCCAGGGGAAGTTGGCGATCAGGTGGAGGCGCAAGATGGCGGGGTAGTTGTCCAGCTGCAGCAGAGATTCTTTCACGGCAACAATGTACCACCTTGTACTACCGAGTACAAATCCTAATGAAGAACCGACGATGAAGGGTAGTGCGGCGGTGCCCCAGATGCTACTTCCCACAATCGCGGCTGAGAGGCCGAGCACAGCGGCTGTTGATGTGCCTGCCAGCATACTCCGGAGCATGCTGGGATGATGTTAGCTATGACTGCGTAAGGTATGATGAGGTGCTTGGTGCATACAGAAGACCGGGGCCACTGTTGAAAAATTAGCTAAGCTTAAGTATGAGGAGGAGTGGTAGAACAAACTTGACATTGCCCCATCCACCCAATATCCTCAACAAGTTGAAGTGAGGTTGCGCATTGGCGGTGTACTCATTGACCTTTGGATGCGATTAGTAGAGGTTTCCTTATCGAGAACAAACCAAGATGGCCTTACCGCATATTCTTGGACCGACATCTTGATGTGCAGTCTACAAGCTTCCGTCGAAATATCGAGAAATTAGTAGGATCACCACAGAAGAATGTTGATTGAAAACATCTTTGTTTGACCTTAGTTTGGGCCCAATCCTCTTAGTCAGCTACCTGCTGCATAATTTCATTGGTCAATGCGGCAAAATTTCGGGCACCGGCGCCAGCTCCGTGCATCGGTAGGTCCACCCGCCGTACCTCGGCTCCGCTGTCCCGGGCCCGGCATGACTATCTACCTAACCTGCCAAAGTATTAACGTTGTTGCCTTGTCGGCTGCTTATTCAAAGTTATTTCGACGAAGTACATGGAACGGTAGCCTCACGATCTTCAACGTTCTTGATGATCTATCGAGCGACATCCATGATATTTGAGTGCATGTTTACTAGGATAAGAGTACCTCAGAAAAGAATGACAGCATGAGAGGATTAATGTAGTAACCGTGTATCTTGAATACACGAGAGATCGAATCTTCCCCTTCAATTGAGCACACAGAAGTTCAGACTATGCATTCGGAAAGCATATCACGTCTAGGACGAGATGATGCTTTATAAGAACAGGCTGAGGCTGTGGACTTGATCAAGATTGGACATCGATTGAGTAAGTTCACTGCCAGCCAGGCTACTCTAATGACGGTGGTTATCATTCCAAACCCAGAGCAAAGTTGAGAATCACCGCAAGTGTAAGGCGCAAAAAGTTGGTGACGACAAGGTCTAATTTTTCAGTGTCTAAAAGCTAGAGTGCAGTCAGGCTATAGGCCTGCTATGATGTTGAAGCAGCCACTAGAAGGGGCGCTGTGGCAGAATGTCCACATGGGCTAATTTCGCTACTTGCCAGACGCGTTTCCGCCTTGCGAAGAGGACCCAGCTCGATCAACTTCCATGAAGTCTTCCTGCGTAGGCGTTCTTATGTCGCCCTCTTCTGCAGCTTTTTGTGCGGCTGCCATCTCGTTCTTCCAATTCTTTCGAAGTTGTCTATAGACCCATGCATTATCATCCTTAACCCTGATAAAATGCGCTCGCTGTGCCCTTCGCCATGGCTCACGGGCAGCCTCCAACATATCCAGATGGAACTGAAAGATGAATTTGTCCCTCTTCACAGGGTCTGGTGCCCATGCCTCCATCTGCTCTTGAGTGGCAGTGCTGATACAGGAATTGCAAGGTCCCTCTTGAGGCCATGGACCCCCATTTATATACGTTCTTGGTTTGCTCTTCTCTCCGCAATAGTGGTCGGGGTCGGTACGTGAAAAGTGGCAGTAGCTGTTTAACCTTTCTTCGATGTGACCGCAACACACAGGGAAGATGAATTTTTCATACTTGCACATGGTGGAGTATCGCCGAAGCTTGACAGGCGAAGAATGATGAGACTCGATGATAAGTAACACAATTGCGTGTGCTGCTGGGCGCGACTTGCTTTCAGGTGTGTGTCGTTTTGAGAACTTACTGGTGAGCTGCAATAGAATTGAGTGATTTTGTAGACTTGATTGTGTTCTTGTTGGATGAGGGTGTTGATGCGGAATGGAATGTCACCAGAATCCTGAGAGTGGCCAGCTTTATACCCATTAGTCGAGGTTGTGGGGATCCATTTCACAATCGTCGGTTCAATGAATTGGTACAAAGTTGTTCACCTCGTCAAGATCTTTCTTGCGATTCTCATGGCTTTCAATGTTGCTGTACCACCGTGCTGCGTTGACGCCTGCCGCGCCGACAATGAACTTGAGTGTCGCGATCTCCTCATTTCGTTTGCCCAGACGTAATGTATGAGAAGAACCTTGACTTTGGCCTTGGACATGAATGTGATACTTTACATGACAAGCTCCGAAAATGCGACATAAGAGTGGTTCGGTAACGCGTTGAAAACAGCGTTCATTGTCGAAGTTGTTCTCTCTACCCCCAAATCTTTACCAAACACTTATCAGGTAGCACCAACAAAAAGCATGATGGGTAGCTTGCAAGCTCTGGCCAACGCCAAATTTTGTTAGCAGAAGGAACGTTGATTGCCGAACAACGACACCTGCGCAATGCCCCGCCACCGTTGTCCGACCCGCCGAAGCTCCAGGTACGGAGCGCCGCACTAACAAAGGAGCGGAACCATCGGCCATCCCAGGAAACATGAGGCAACGCGAACTGAATCCAATTGAGCTACCGTTTCAAGAGCCTGCTGATCTCGTCCAGTCTTTGCGAGGTAGGATGTACCGCACTGCGGTTGGTGACACCGCACGTCGAAAGCATTCTATCATTGAGATACCTTATAGAATGAAGGGCCTGTGTGCACTCGGCATAGAAGCTGCTTCAACCACCGCTAAAGCCACAGCATTGAGGCGCGACGCCGCAAATGAACAGAGGACAACATTCCTTGACGAACGCCTGATTTTGGGTACCTGCATGCAGGTATACGAGCACCTCTGATCGTTCCACTCTTGCTGAGCAAATTTGACAAACGCAAGCTGAAGCTGACATCGTCCGATCGGTGACGGACTTTTTGGGGATGACCGAAATCATACCGGCTGCAAGACCCCACCATCGGTATTTTCCCCAACCCGCCTCGGTCCCGAGTCTGCCACCCTGCCCGACCAATCCCCCTAAGCTTTCCTACGTCAGCTTCAGCATTCTTCTTAAACTACCGTCGCCCTGCAGCATTGCATGGCGTAGCTCAGCTAGAAGGTGTTTTGTTTACATCATTTTGCATCAATGCACACCTGCATATCGTCTCTACACATATCATCCTGAGTCAATTGAAGAATGGCATCAGTAACATTACGCCGTGTTCGACCGGCGACCATCGCGGCTACCGTTGCAGCTGGGGGCATTGGCCTGGCGGCGTACTCGAGGCTGTTTGTGAACAGCGCTTCTGCCGAGTCTGGAGCGCCGCCAAGGGTATTTGGGGCGGGGCCTGCGTTCGTGTCGCTTGCGTTGGAGAGCTCGGAGGATGTCAATCACAACACCAGGCGATTGCGGTTCAAGTTACCACAGAGGGAGGCAGTCAGCGGTCTTTCATTGACATGTGCGTGTTCGCGATCACCTGAGCTTCAAGAAAGAAAAAGTTGCTGATGTTCGAGAACAGCTGCCGTCCTGACCATGTCATGGCCCGAGGGCAGGTGGCTTCCCGTCGCGAGGCCTTACACGCCCGTGCAACCTCTCGGTAAGAACAGGAATAATTCCCCAATGACCTTTTTATTGCACGCGAAACATGAAATGCTAATTGAACGCAAGATGACACCGGCTACCTCGAGCTCATGGTGAAGAAGTATCCAGACGGCAAGCAGAGCACACACATTCACTCCCTCACACCAGGCCAAAAGCTCCTCTTCGCCCTCGCAATCAAAGGCCACCAATGGAAACCAAATAGCTACAGCCACATCACCCTCATCGCCGGCGGCGCAGGCATCACGCCAATCTACCAGCTCGCGCAGGGCATTCTCCGCAACCCAGAAGACAAGACGGCCATCACGCTCGTCTTTGGCGTCAACTCGGACCAGGACGTGCTACTCAAGCAGGAATTTGAGCAATTCGAGAAGGAGTTCCCCGGCAGGTTCAAGGCTGTATACACGGTCAGCAATCCTGTTGCGAATTCACCGTATCAGAAGGGGTATGTGACGAAGCAGTTGCTGGAGGAGGTCGGGGTTGCGCCGCAGAAGGAGGAGGATACAAAGGTGTTTGTGTGCGGGCCGCCGGCGATGGAGGCGGCTCTGGTGGGGAAGAGGAGTGCGCCGGGGGTGTTGCAACAGTTGGGGTATCGGAAGGATCAGATTCACCAGTTCTAGAGTGTCAATTCGAGGGTTACCTGGATGTACGTTATAGAGGACGCGGAGAGAGATTGAAATGATCGATTCCTTTCAAATTTCGGGATTTTGGCGCGAGAACAGAAAGACAAAACTACAGAGCTTGCCTGGGAGCTTAGAATCGCTGCGACTCTCGGGAGAAACTTCATGAGGAGAAGGCTACCAGATCCCCAAGCCAGGGAGCTTTCTCCAACAATTCAAATGACCCGCCTTGCTAGCTCAATCGGTAGAGCGTGAGACTCTTAATCTCAAGGTTGCGGGTTCGACCCCCGCGTGAGGCTCAAATCCTCACCGCGATTGGCAAAGCCACTCTTCGGGTTATTCTTTTTGCCTCATTGACCTTTTCGCATCAACCAGACGCATCCTAGTGTCGTGGCGGCTTGAAGCAGCTAAGGCTGGTGCAGCATCCTTCTCTAGCTGCAAGAAGACTTTTTTTTGGAGGGGGGAAAAGAGACTTCAGCTCCAATGTGCAGAGAAAGTGGAGAAGATGTCGGCGTAAGTGCCTGAGCTGATCATTGCGGCATTGCCCGCATCTACAAGTGCTCAGGTGAGCGGGCCATACGCTCTCGATTTCTGAACTCAGATCGATTGATATCGGTACCTGTGTATCTTGCTAGGCTTTAGATTTGCACTCAATGAAGGAGGACTCTTGTTTACTTACAGACGTCCCGGCTCAGAACATTTGGTACCTGATCCATACCGATTATTGATTGACAACTTTGCAACACCCATCAAGAACCTGCTGGGAATCTCATCGTGAAACGCAACAAAAGCCATTCAGATTCCCAGCTTCCTTTATGTATTGAAGAGCCATCTGTGAATTTCCATGACAAAGACGAACCGGAATCAACAATTTGTCTCGCCATCTCCGGGACGTAACTTCTTCGGCGTCCTTCAACGATGCATCCCAACCGCAACCATGATTCGTTGACGTAATGCACGACCCCCACAAAAAAGTTCTCCGTCACTCAGCCAATTCCAAACACATCCCCTTCTTTCCACTCACCATTCCACCTCACGATCAAAACTGTAAGCCTCTCACACCATCCCGCACAGCTCAATTCATACCGTGATGAGCTAACGAAAATCAAGATGGAACAATTTGGCCTCTCAGCAGCGCACTCGGGCGCGATAAACCATATCCACGCAATCCACTTCGGGCCCGCTGCCGTGGACGTCGTCAGGGAGATCAGGCTGGCTGTCACTGTTGTCGTTATCGGATGGGTTGCTGTCATGGGGATCAGGACGATTTTTAATCGGGATAGGCGATGATTTGGGGTTTCTGGAGGAGGAAGAGTGAAGCTGGGAGTGAGATGGAGCCGCGAGGAGGAAGCTCGTCGCTGGGTGGTCGGGTCTAAACCCATGTCATGATCTCGCCCCTCTAAAACAGCTTAAACAGCCGTAATTTATACAACAGTTGGGGTGTTCGACTATCTCAGTACCTTTTATGTATCTGTAATAACAAACAACCACGCGTCATTGTCCCTTTCGTCGTGCACTTTTTTCCAAATTTCCACAACTCCAATACTCCGGTCCTCCCAAAGCCTGACCGTGATCGCAAAATCTCCCAACCCGATCGTCGCTTTCAACGACAGCCCATGCTCTTCACAATTTCCAGAGTAGGCGCCCTTTCTTACGCAGGCCCAACTAGGCCGGCGGAAAGTGCAAAAACCTCTGACAGCACCACGCCCCCGTCCCCGAAGCACAAGCCTGCGCCGCCCCCGCGCCTGTGTCGTCGGCCTTCTTCGTCCATCCTTCCGGGCATGCACCGTCGCAGAAGGCCTGGCAGATTTTGGCGTTGGGGTCTGCTGCTAAGGAGTCTTTGTGTCCTTCCGTTAGTGATGAAACCCAGGTCATGTGTTCAGGAGAAGGGGGAGTGGTGTGAATCGTGACCTACCGAGTGGGATGGCCGATGCCACAGCCATGAGGCTCCATAACACGATCGCGGTGGTCTTCATATTTTGTTGATCAAGGTAGGAGTTACTTTGATGTGCTGTGGTTGAATCCTTTCATGATGAGTCTGTAGTTGCGTAGTCAATGAAAAGCAAAGAATCGACGCGAAGTTGGGAGTTCGTAACTGATGTTGGCATAAGTTATTTTCTTCAGCCGACGCCGGATCACAGTGAAACATGAGGCAATCAAAGACAAAAAAGACGCCTGCGGACAGTAATGGAATTATAGAGTAGACAAAGATAAATAAAGCAGTCCTCCCTGAAACTCGCATGAGCAAACCAACGATCTCGGGTTGGCCCGGGCGGACGGGAGGCCCTTTTCTTTGTTCACGATGCCAGCCTCATCCTTGTTCCGCCAGAAGGTGGCCTCGTCAAGCGCGCTCACTGGCTGAGGTTTACGGCACAGAAAGAACGTCTGAAACTTCAAACACACCGCGCACAGGTTTTGCCTCCCGCGGAACTCGAAGAGTCTATCTGAGGCTGTTGCGAACTCACCTCTGGATGCCGATGGACTTCATATTCCTATCATCACAGAGCAGAGAAGGGTTTGAAGAAAAAGATTGAACTAGAAAATGGTTGTAATTGCAAGTCATCTAAACAACTTGCTTCTGTACTAAGAAAGAATGCCTCGTCATGTAACTCGTGAAAGTCCCTCGTCTCAGCTACCAAAATCCTTGTAAATACATGTCCCATGGTCGACCCATCATCCAGTCATGATCCATTCCCAGTCATATCCCATCCCAATTATTTTTTATGTACCCAAATCCACCCACCAAAAAGAGTGTTTGGAACCAGCCCAAGCGACTCTTGTCCAAAACGCCAAGATAAAAAGCAGACGGAGAAAAAATTCCAAAAAAGAAGAAAGCAGAAAACAACTCAGCAAGCACCATAGCGCACACCTCTCTTGCCCAACTCCTTCCTTCCAACAGGGTCCTCGGGCATAACCCAGCCTCTCGCTCTCTTGGCCTCACGCTTCTCCGCCAACTGCGGCTTGGGCATCCACTCGTCTCTAGGGAGTGCCTTGCGTCGGGTACCCTCAGCAGGTGCACCAATCTCCGTCTTCCAGTGCGCCACGGCACTGCGGCCCTGCTGCTGAGGAGCGTCGTCGCCAGCCATCATACAGAGACCCCAGAGGGCAAGGCAGGCAGTCAGCGGGATTTCGCCGACCTCGCAGTCGGCATCGTCAGCGACGGCGGCAAGCTGAACGGAGGTGACTTCGAGGTGACCAAAGTGGGGGACGGACTCGCTGCCGTTGCGGACGATGACGAGCTCAATCTCTGTGAGGATGAAGCCGTAGCGGCACGAGTGTTCGCGCATGGCGTGGTGCAGGGCGGCGAGGCCGCGGAGGTACTCTACGCGCTTGATGTTGCCCTCAACACGCATGCCGGTGTTGAAGCGGTCAAAGGAGCGGACGAGGCCGACGACGCGGGCGGTGGGCTTGCCGCCGAAGATGGTGGCAGCGGAGGCGGGCTCGCCGGCGGGAGAGGCGGTGAAGAGGAGCTCGGGCTGCTTCGCGGTAGCAGAGGGGGCGGGAGCAGACAGCTGCATGGGTCTGTGGGAAGAGATGGCGAGCGCGGCGTTGAGCTTGGGGAGGTAGTGAGAGGCGTAGATGCTGTGAAGAGCGGCTTCGGTCTCTGGGTGGCGGGCAGTCGGGGCCGGGTTGGGGAGGAGAGGTGCCGGAACGGGGCAGTTGAGAAGGGCGGCGGCACCAGGGAGAGAGAGGACAGAGGAGGCGTTGAAGGTTGTCCAGGGGCGGATTTGGCGAACGTCCCACCAGAAGTGCTTGGTGTTGGGGTCCCGGAGAGGGAACGAGATGGTACGCACCAACGAAGGAGCAGGGTTGGATCCGGTGAGGTAAGTCATGAGAGTGGTGCTGGGAGTCGGGTCCGGTGTGGCAGCGGCGGACAGGCTGAGGGGAGACGGCGCACGAGGAGTGTACGATGGGAACATGTATGCCTCTGATGGCTGCTGAGGAGCAGGAGAGGGAACGTATGAGGGCATCTGACGGTAGGTCGGGAACCCAAACTTCTCGAGGGCGACACCCTCAAGGCTGCAGGTTGACGCGCGGCGAGATTGCATATCATCGGCAAAGATGACGGGAGAGCAAAGGAGGGACGAAGGAGTCTGCTCCTCGGGCTGGCTGCAGTAGGTGGAGGGCATGTTCCATGTGAGGGTCTCCGGGTTGGTGAAGCTGCGAGTGTGAGCCGGGCGGAAGACGGCGTTGGTAGTGGGGGCCACGGGGGTTGCCCGTCTGGGGACCGGGGCGCGGGGCTTCGGCGAGGCCTTCATACGCTTGGGAGGCGACTCGATGGCTTGGTCCTGGGAGCGGATCTTAGGAAGCAAGAGAGGGCCGTGTTGGCGGATGGGAGGTGAGGCACGAGACGGGGTCGTCATGCGTGTGCTCACTGAGTCCGGTGTGGAGTCTGCGGCAGAGATGAAGGAGTAGACGGAGCCATTGGAGCGGGAGCGGTTGTGGCCCGGGTTGTGGTGGTAGGGGAGGTCGAGGAGAGAAGAGTCGAAGGAGAAACTCGGCGGCGTGGAGGGCTCGCACGAGGGGAAGATGAAGTCGAAAGACATATCCGCTGCCAGACTGAGGGATGATGTGTTAGTGGGGGTGTAAGTGAGGCGAGAAGCAGGGGGCATCTCATACGTGGACATTGTGACTGTGTGAATTGGTTGGATTATGGGATTATGAGAGGTGTTTCGTGAGAGAGAGGAGGCCAGCTCCAGGAGTTCTTTGGCGTTTGAGGATTGCGTTGCGATGGGAAAAGCAGACGGGGGTTTGCTGTGAAGCAGGGACTAAGTGGCCGCGTTCAACGAGACCAGGGCGTTCCGGGAGATCTAGGTGTATAACTTTTGTGTTTTGGTATCCAGATAATATGCGAGTTATAGTAAACAAACAAAGGTCGATTTGATAACAAGTTTAGACTGAGACGAGGATGAGAGGACGAGAGCGCAAAGGAGACGAGGAGATGAGGAGACGAGATGAGGATGGAGAGAGAAGGGGCCAACAGAAAGGGACAGTTGGCGCGGGAGGGGAGGACATCTTTATCCTCGGGTTTGAGGCTCGTAGCCCAATGGATGTGGTAGTGGTGATGCGGCGCGCGACTGACGGCCGACTGAAGCGAGGGCGTGTGGCCTTCGCCCCGGCCCCAGCCTTGGACTGACCGTAGGTCGTCGGGCCCAAGTCTGGGTCTCTAGACCCCATCAAGTGACGGGGGGAGGGAAGAGCAGCAGCGGTACAACGCAACTGTGGATTGAGCTGCGCGCATCCGGCTTGGGGGTTTGTAGTGTGTAGATGCCAGGGTCCCTTGGACGGATCGTGGGCC